TGGTGAAAGAAAGGAACAGCTCATGATTCAAAGTATACCACATCATGTGTCAAACATGGTGGAGGCAGTGTTATGGCATGGGCATGTATGGCTGCCAATGGAACGGGCTCACTGGTGTTTATTGATGATGTGACTGCTGACAGAAGTAGCAGGATGAATTCTGAGGTGTATAGGGCTCTACTCTCTGCTCACATTCAGCTAAATGCTACAAAACTGATAGGACGCCGCTTCACAGTGCAGATGGATAACGACCCTAAACATACTGCGAAAGCAACTCAAGACTTTTTGAATGCAAAGAAATGGAATAATCTTCAATGGCCAAGTCAGTCGCCTGATCTCAACCCAATAGAGCTACTTTTCACTTACTAAAGACCCACAAACAAGCAGCAGCTGAAGGTGGCTGCAGTGAAGCCTGACAAAGCATCTCCAGGGAGGAAACTCAGAGTTTTGAGAACATGGGCTCCAGACTTCAGGCAGTCATTAACTGCAAAGGATTTTCATCCAAGTATTAAAATTATGCTTATATATACGTCACTTTGTCCAAATACCTTTGAAAATGGAGGTACTTTGCTGAAAATGGCTGTAATTCCTAAATGGTAAATGCCATATTTTTGTGGAACCTCTTAAAATAATGCTGAAAGTCTACACTTTGATCACATCTTGAATGTTTCATTTTAAATCCATTGTGGTGGTGTATAAAGGCAAAATCACAAAAACTCTCTGTCCAAATACTTTCGGACCTGACTGTATATATATGTATGTATGTATGTGTGTGTGTGTGTGTGTGTATGTGTGTCTATATAAAGTATTCGCAACACTTCTAATTAATTTTGCAAAAAAGCTGCCTGTGTAAACTCCCTGACATAATAAATCTAAGAAAGAAAATTAATATATGACCTTTTGATCTTAAAATTAGACATGCTGTATAGTTTTTTTTTTCTTTCTCAACAATATTTTAATTTTTTTAAGCAAGCAAAACTTGAGTGTTGATGGTAACGAAAAATATACACGTGCATATCTACTACTCTGTCTATACTTCCTCTAGAGGGGTCATTTTGTCACTTCTGGTGGGTTTAATAAATGCTGTTAGTTTCCACTGGGAAGTGCAGGAATATGAATGATCACGTTTTACGCATGAGTCCACTAGAGGGTGTATTGTGACGTTTAATGAAAATTCTAAACCCTTCTTCCCTTCTGGGTTTGTAATAATTAATTTGAAACGACAAATACACCGGTTTCTAACGAACTTAAACAAGCATGAGCAGTGCTTAGCACTGATAATAAATGAACTTTGCCTATAATAAAGATTATTTTCTGTAAACAGTAGCCAGAAAAGCTGGATGAACTGTAGAGCAAAATGGCCAAGACAAGCTCTATTTGTATGATCTAAAATAAATTTCCAGAAAATTCCAGAACTTTAAGAGAACTAAATAGGCTTGTAGAACTACACAATTTCAGTGTGTATAACTGGTTCTCATGTCTTTACAGGCCTCATTGAAAGAGATTGTGTACAGACTCTTACCAAAAACAGGGAGGCATCTTCCAGCATAGTCAATGACCAACACATGGGCCATTCACTAGGATTCACATTTGTTTACTCTGAATGCATGGATGATGGTAAAGAGGCAAAAGCAAAAGCAAGTATACTTGCTAAAAGTATGCTCAGGTCTCATTAATTATATACAGTTGATAACTTCACCTGGATATTGTAGACTTAAATCTAAAACACCAATGAAATAAAAAATGACCCTGATGCTTATACTGAAGATCTTTACATCACAATTATGACTGCTTGACTCTATAGTATATACTTGTAGAAGAGTAATGATTTACTTTCCGTTCTGCCTTCTGAAAGTATTGGAAAGGCTATGCCAATCCTTTTTTTTTTTTTTTTTTTTTTG